TTTTTTCTGGTTTTAGTGTTCGGGCACGTAGGTACACGTGTCCGAAGGCCAACGCGCAAATTCCGTTTTTCCGAATTCGACGCGACACCCCCGTTTTTGCGTTTAACGCGATTTAACGGGGGTCGGGGGCCCGTTAAACGGGGATCAAGGCGCGTTCAATTTTTCGCGTTCTCTGTTAAAAAGATACACAACATACGCAAGTGACACGGACACTGTGACAGACACAGTGTCACATGCTGTGACGCACGGACACAGTGACATACATAAGTCACGCACACATAGATACTGTGAACACACATGGTCACTGTGACACACACAATCAACTACACAGATACAAAGTCACACAGATGCACGGGCGGTGCACAGTGACACAGACTGTAACATCCACAGCAACACAGTGATAGGCACACTGTGATGTATAGCCACTATGTCAGACACACGATCACGATGACAGACACAACGAAATACGAACAAACTTTGTGTCACGTACACTATGATACGAATACACAGGGTCACGCACACAGACTCAGTGTCACATACACTGTGAAGCGGATATACAGCCACGCAGTCTCATACACGCAGTTACACGGTGACACGCAGTGCACATTGACGCACACCGATACACAATGCGCGATGTTACACATTGCACAGTGACATACGCAGACACTGTGACACAGTCACGGTGACACTAAGACACAGGGTTTCTTCTAAAGGAATAAACTAACTAGGTGGTAAGAGGAGTGAGGCTCCAAAAAGTCTGCCTTACCACCATAATACTATATATATTAGGTGGTAAGAGGAGCGAGGCTCCGGGAAGCCAGCCTTACCACCGTAATACTATGTATTAGGCGATAAGAGAAGCGAGGCTCTAAGAAGTCTGCCTCATCGCCATATCTATATATATATATATATTAAACGACGAGAGAAGTGAGGCTCTAAGAAAGATGCCTCATCGCCATATCTATATGTATATTAGGCGATAAGAGAAGCGACGCCCTAAGAAGCCTGCCTCATCGCCATATCTATATATATATTAGGCGACGAGAGAAGCGAGGCTCTAAGAAGCATGCCTCATCGCCATATGTATATGTATACTAGGCGATCGAGAGAAGCGAGACTCTAAGAAGCATGCCTCATCGCCATATATATATATCTATATATACTAGGCGATCGAGAGAAGCGAGACTCTAAGAAGCATGCCTCATCGCCATATATATATATCTACATATACTAGGCGAACGAGAGAAGCAAGGCTCTAAGAAGCCTGCCTCATCGCCATATCTATATATATACTAGGCGATCGAGAGAAGCGAGGCTCTAAGAAGCCTGCCTCATCGCCATATTAACTTATATACTAGGTAGTAAGAGGAGCGAGACTCCGGGAAGCCTGGCTTACTACCGTAATACTATATATTAGGCGATAAGAGAAGCAAGACTCTAAGAAGCCTGCCTCATCGCCATCATTCCAATAATCAAAACTAGAATAAATTGAATATTATGAATAGAAAAATCTACTTCAATTTAGTCAAAAAACAAATTCATTCAATCTAATAGAAAATCACAGTATCAATTTAGTATGTTTATATTCATCAATACATATTCTAGATGTACATTTTGTTTCATTTCACACGAATAAATTTATTCAATTATCATTCATTGATTATATCAATTATATATAAAAAATCAAATATAAACAAAATTCATTCTTTMATAAAATTCGAATCAAATAGTACAAATATACACAATATCATAATACAAGAATATACAGAGAATCTAAAATATTAGTTCAAACACAATGTACTGCAATGGATTCATTGAATGAATTGATTTTTACTCTATGAATAGAATAAATTACATAAATGATAAATGGAATAAATGTAAATTMTCAGTTTATATCTATTATTACTGGAATATTCGAATTATTGCAATATTMTATCGATTAAGTACTATATCTATCTTTTATCTCTATTCTTGCAATAAATTTTTGTATTGTCAATATAAATAATTATAATATAAATAACTCTAGAGTTATTAAATAGTTAATTGAACAAGAATATATGAAATCAAGAAACACATGAAATGAAGAATTTAGTCAAAATCAAAGATTCTATTTCAAAGATTTTATTTGATTCAAAGAACATTTTGTTTTTATCTTATCTTATTGACAACTTATTTTTTTTTCTTATAATTTCGTTGAGGAATAAGAGCTATAGCTCAGCGGTAGAGCGCCTCGTTTACACGTGCGTTAATGTGTTTAAGCAATGGAAATCGGTGCATTCGATCTACAATAGATATCCGATGTAGCAAAGAATATGTCTTACTCAGAAATTTTTATTTGGGGAAAATAGCATGATATAAGAAATACTATTGATTGCACATACATAGATTATGTGAATGTGTTGCGTGTATGTGACATCTCCTTGCCTAATCATTCAACCTTATCTCATTTCACATGTATGTATGCTATGGTTAAAGGGTTTCATAAAGGGATATGCCGAATTGTCTTAATCACTAGGTAGGATGGGTATGTGTCTTATGCGCAACCCCTGATAATTTAAGTATCGAGAGGGGTCCTGCTTTGAAAATGGGATAAGTTATGAGTCATACCTATAGAAACTATTTATATTCAAAACATAGTATGTGCGAACGTTCGTCAGTTGAGTCGACTTGATTTGTAAGTCGGTCCGGGAGATCAGCGTCCCGATGCCCGACAAGTATACGGGTCAGTCTTAGGCATTCAACCTCGCGTATGCCTATGCTACGGCGATCGAGAAAACGCCATCGACTGGCCTACCTCTGCGATTGCATGTAAAAGCGTTCGCACGTGGGTCAGTGGCTCAACGGGGATATGCCCACCTAAGAGATGGTGACAGCTCCCGCAGGTAGAGGTATGTTGTACCTCGCGGGATCCCTAACCTGTCATAGGGAGTCGCGAGAGGTATAGCACGCGCGCACGGTCGGAGTTGGTCTCGGGGTGAAGCTCTATTAAAACTTCTGCGTGATACGACTGTGAGGTCCGACACTAAAAATTACTTTACGTCTGGGTGTGGGACCGCCCCGCTCGACAGGTGGCGCCGTTGCCGGGGATCTCGCTTTCCATCCGAGGTCCTCAGTGAACGGACTCGGGTTTGGTAAAACGATGATCAAGGCAAAACGACAACCTTTAAATGAGCAAATATAGCTTGTGATATATGAGTTGAGTTACCGTAGGATAGACACTTATAGTGTTGCACGCGTGAAGGAAGTGAGAAGCCATGCTGACAAAGCCAATAGATGTCGCAGTGCCTGATAGTTAGGCTACCTACTCGAAGACTATGTCCGTTGGCTAAGTCGTTTGTCATAAAGTCTGAGTACAAGATTATAAATTAAACTAACCCTATTAATCATTATTTCCATAGTCTAACCATGCCATCGAATTCTTGAAGCTATATGATATAGGTCTTAATGGTAAACCCAGTCTCAGCGGTTGTCTTACTGAGAGGGTGTACCGTGTGACATATGATTCTATCATGATCTACTTGAGATAATTGTCTTCTCCAAGGCTCTACCGATATGGTATGATGATGAGGGTATTTGCCTAAAAGGCTAGCTAATTCGTGAAGTGGTAATGACAAAGGGGTCATGCGCTTCTGTATGATAGGTGTATAATAAGCGATGGTATATTAAAGGTCTGTCAAAATACGAAGGAGTCTTGATATTTAGCATACGTTTTCAAGGAGTAGAGCTTGAGGTATATAAGACATTGTAGCCTTATAGTCGTATTGAGGGATGAATAGATAAATAGAATAAAGCGAGTGATACAGTCCATAGTTGTCTTGATAATGAGGGGGTCAACCATTTAGTAGAATCTGCTAATCTGGTATGGAGTCTGATTGATGAAGTTGCTTATTGAAAGTATAATTTAACCTTAAAGGATCATGAGATACGAGTTAATCATCCACTCAGGGACTCACTAATCATTAGGAGCAAATATTATGGTAAACGTACTGTACCCGTTTGAGGTTATATATGATAGAGTCGATAGTGCATTGGCTTTAGACGTCATT